AAAAGTCTTAGATTGAACCTGCTTTTAGCTGCAGGAACCCTGGAAACACACAAACTCTATGCTAATGCTAACGCTATGCTAACGTCTCTTTGTCCGGTCACGTCTCGAACAGTGAACTTCAGCTACCCGTCTCTGGAGGAACCGAATCCTCTGGCGCCGGTTCAGGACCAGCCCGAAGTTCCCCCCGAGCCTCCAGAGCCGTCGGTTCCCGTCCTGGTGAACGGGGTCGCACCCGCCGAGCCCCCTGCGTCCAAAACCTCCGCGCTCGCCGACAAGCTGCCCGACTCAGTCGAYGCGTCCGGCGGCGGCGGCGACTCTACGACAGCCGGGCTCGACCCGACTAAGAAGGGTTCTGCAGCCAGCCCGTCTCCTGCAGCCGGCAGGTCCTTCCCTCAGGTCTCTGCTCCATCAGAACCTCTCAGATCTTTTCATCGGGTCCTCGTGACGTAAATCTGACCCACGTTTGGTGTTTCTGTTGCAGTTCGACCGCACCAAGAAACCGTCCGATCAAACGAAACCCGGCACTCCCAACGGCCCGGTCATCCCCGACCGCTCGGGCAAACCGGCGTTCAGCAGCGGCGCGGCGCTGTCCAAAGACGAGCAGAAACAGATCCACTCCGAGGTGCTGGCCATGAAGGAGAAGGCCCGACAGGAGCAGGAGAAACGCAACCAGGAGCGCCGCCTGGAGGAGGAGCAGAAGGAGAGGCTGGAGAGAGAGGCCAGTGAGAAGAGGAGGAAGGAGGAGGAGGAGAAGAAACAGGAGAAGAAGAAGCTGGAGCGACAGAAAGCGGAGGAGGAGGAGGACAAGGAGAACCGGGTCTGGGGCGAGAGGGAGAGGCCGGGACGAGATCCGAACTCTGAGGCTCCTTCTAAGAGCATGTCTCTGGACTCACCTGTTCCGAACCACCTGGTCTCTGAAATAAAGGTGAGTTCATCACCTCAAACTGAGTCCCACTCGTTTAGGAGGGGTGACACGGCAGGGGGCGGAGCTTCAGCTCGTTACAGACGAGATTTCATGAAACAAACCCTGAATGTACAGGGTTCCTGCAGATCCTAAAGTCTTACAGGTCATTGAGTTCATCAATCCAAAAATAAGGCCTTAAAAATGTGAACACATTGTAAATAGAATGATTATAATTCACCTCAAATATTAAAATAATTGGTAAAAATTATTTTTTTTAAATATCCACATGCAGACATTCCCCTTTGACATCACTTCCTGTTGTTTCACATGTAAATATTTCAACAACTGTTCATCTGAGCAACGTGAAATTTGTTTTCTAATAYGTTAATGTTGTCTTTTCCACAATGCATTCATATTTCTTGTAAAGAAATAATGTCACTTTAAGGTTTCATCTACAGCAAGTGTGAGTTGAGACCCCACTGTGGGTCCTAAAACTGCACATTCTGGGTCGTCAGAGGATTTCCTGAAGTTAGATTAAGTTTAAAACTGACTGATAAGATGTTTCTGTTATAGTTTGATATGGATAAAAATAATTGGTTTATTAGCAATATTTGAATATTTCAACCAAAAATACATTGATTCATGAGTTTCTGCCAGTTTTTATTTTTTGTCACTTGTGTTTGTTATGAACTTGGTCTTAAATTTAATTTCACTTAACATTGAAAAGTCTTAAATTAAATTTGCTGTAAACTGTAGGAACCCTGANGTTAGATATGGATAAAAATAATTAGCAATATTTGAATAATTCAACCAAAAATACTTTGATTCATGAGTTTCTGCCAGTTTTTATTTTTTGTCACTTGTGTTTGTTATGAAATTGGTCTTAAATTTAATTTCACTTAACATTAAAAAGTCTTAAATTTAACTTGCTGTAAACTGTAGGAACCCTGATATAATTTATTTTARAGATTGTTAAATATTAGAGTACTCTTTATTTTTATGTGTTTCTTCACAGAGGGAGCCTCTGACCCGAGCACGCAGCGAGGAGATGGGCCGGAGCGTCCCAGGACTTCCAGACGGTTGGATGAAGGTGCCGCCTCTTTAAACCCTTAATTCAGAGGAGTCCAAACATTTAGTCACCTGGGCCAAAAATATTTTTCCTTTACCTGATCAACAATAAGCACTGAATACTTTTAAACAAATAAGCACTGAATACTTTTAAACAAATAAGCACTGAATACTTTTTAAACAAATAAATTAGTCAGATTTATTGCTAGAAATGGATGCTTAAATTCATCTAGATCCAGAAGTTTAAAAGGGTTTTGCAGGATTTCCTTTATTGAAAGAAATTTTGCAATTTTCTAGGTTTCAATTGGGGAAAAAAATAACCCAATTTAGTCAATTCTGATCAATAAAATCAGGATTTAGGTCACTGTTTTGTTGAAAATACTTGTTGTTTTCAGACAAATTTAATAAATGAATTAAAAGCAGATTGGAGTGCAGCAAAATCAGTTTTTCAGTAGAAGTCACTAAAAAGATGTGGGATAAAGCTAAGATCCTGATTATTTAAAGACAATTAATTGGTTTTGTTGCCAATATTTTTTATTGGAAGAAGATTTTACTTTGTGATCATTTTGTCCTAATAATAAATAGAAAGTCTCCATCCTGTGCCGGGGGGACAAATTTGTAAACAAATTAGTATAATTTTTGAACTGAAGTCAGGGGCCACACAAAATCAGTTCAGGGGCCACAAATGGCCCCCGGGCCACACTTTGGACACCCTGCCTTAAAGTAAAGTTTTATTTAAAGGTTTATATTTAACCCTTTTCCTCCCTTTTCCTGGTTAGTTTCTGGACACGGTGACCGGCATCTACAGATACTACCACTCCCCGACCAACCGTGTCCACCTGTACCCCCCCGAGGTCACGGTTCCCCAGACCCCGCCCTCCACGCCGCCCACCGTCAAGCAGAAGCCTCCGCGGTCCGCCGAGCCTGACACCAGCYGCGAGCGGGAGCAGTCCAAACTGAAGCGCTCCTACTCGTCTCCGGACATCAGCCAGGACCTGAGGGAGGAGGCCCAGAGGAAGGCCTCGGCCCCGCCCC